CGCGAATGTCCGCGGGCTGGTTTTGTGCAAAATCACCTCCATCTCGCCGCGGTAGTCGTGGTCCACCACTCTGTCTACGACGTCGATGCTCTTGCGGGCGAGTCCCGGGCGCGGGGCCATCCGTAGGTGAGTGCCTGGCGGTGCGAAAGCGGCCGCGCCCGTAGGCATGAGTTCGCGACCACGGGTCGCCACGCCGACGTCCGCGCAGAGTGGGACGTAGCCATCTGCGCGAGGCGCGCCCCGCACTGGTGCTTGTGCATTGGGGCTAAAAACTCTGGCGCTTCTCAAACCCGCGGGCGAAGTGGGCGTCGTTCGGCGGTTTAAATTGGTCGACGTTGTTGGCCGGTATGCGTGGGTGGCTACTTGGGGCCAGCTCTAAGTCGAAGTGCAAGGTGCCTAGGCCACAATGGATTTCGGAGCCTCCAGGACCGGGAAATGCGAGGCCTTTGTGCGACCGCGTGGATTGCAAGTCAAGAAGGGCAAGGGGATCGAAGCCGTCGCACTCCATTGCAGGGCGCGCATGCTGTGCCGGGCGGTCACGCCGTCGCGGACAAGACCCGCGATATGGCAGTGTCCCTCCCGACGGGTCACCTGTGAGCCATTGCCCGCCCCTGCGACGTGAAGCGGGTGCGTCAGCCTCTTCCCGATGGGCTGGGGCCTCGCCTTCGTGGCTTTGTCGGACATGTTGTTCGCGAAGCGTTGCCCCCGGGCCGACCGCCTGGGAGGTCGGTGCTCGCTCAGTAGTATAGTGAATCAGTCGGTGGAGTTGGGCCTGCGCCTGACGAGGTCGGCCGCCGCGGGGCCGTCCGTCGGCGCGGAGGAGTTTGTATGTGCAATTGGGCGCAGCACGTCGAGGCCGCGTCGGCAGCGGATTCAAAACTGGAGGCGCTGTGAGGGAGCCACGTAAGATCCGGCCGATGTGTCTCAGGTGTCGGTGCGGACCGAGGAGTTTGGCCGGCGCCCTGCTGCGGGGGCGTCTCCACTGGCGCCCTGTCGTCTGGCGATGGCCGGGCCGGCGCGCCGCAGGTGCAGGGCCTGGAGTGCCGGCGTGTGCCGCGCGGGCCGGCAGCGCGGTCGCTGGGCCCACTGTAGCGCGATCAGCATCAACGAAGCAGGACACGGCGACGACGTCGGCTGGGCCGCGGCGCGCCGGGCAGCGCGCCGAATGGGTGTCGGCGTTCTGCGCGATCTGTAGGCGGCGTGCCCAGTGCAAGATGCGGCGGCACTGATGGCGTGCAGTCCGATCACCGTGTGCGGAGGCCTCGAGACACGTGGGACATCCCCAGCCGTCGCCGTTGAAAGCCATGGCGCGGGGCGCGGGTTGCAGCCGGCGCGGAAGCAGGCGCTGGAAGTGGCTTAGTAACCCTTTCAATCCGACTCTGTGCGGCTCGTCGCCGCTGCTTGTCCTTTTTTTCCGTAAGCTCAAGTGCATGCTGGGTGCTGTGGAGCTCGTCGAGGTGCCGTCGTTGCGCGCGGTCGAGCGTGGAGCCTACTCCGCACTCGGATCGCACGCCACTGGACATCCAGGCGTCGCGGCCGGCGATCCACGCGGCCGCTCTCCCAGACGGCTGGCTCACGTCAATGGGGGCGCGCAAGTTGAAGAGAGCCTGATCGTGAGGGGGCTCCAGCATCGGTAGTGAAGCGGTTACATGCGCGGATCTCGGTGGCCACGTGGAACTCAACCCACGTGGCGCGCTGGTGCCGAATGCTAAGACTGATGGCGTGAAGGCCCAGCTCAGCAACTGCACATCGGTGGGTGGAAGCTGGCGCTGCGACTCGGGCATTGATGTCGCTTGCCCAGTCGAGCCCTCGCCGTGGCGCCAGCGGAACAGCGCTGGCCACTCCAGCCCAGCACTGAGGCGTCAGCGTTTGTGGCGCTGCTGAAATTGCCAGAGCTGCGAGGGCCGCAGTTGCCGCGTTCCCCGCCCTGGCCGTGCGGAAGGGCAGCGCGGCTGCCCTCTGTCGGTTGAGCAGTGTCTTGTCGCGCGCGGCCCGCGAGGTCGTCCGTCTCTTTGCGCAGTCGCCGAAGTTCAGCCTCGTGGGGGTTGGGCGAAGCCGATGAAGACGATGAAGTAACCGCTCAACTTGACCGATGGCCCTGGCCCGTTGCCTGCAAGGAGCCCTGAGCCGTCGGGCGAGACGCTGGGAGCTGCCGCTGCCGGCGCTGGCCGCCTAATTCTCGAAGCTGGAGTCGGCCGGCCGCCGTTCCAAGATATATCGGTGCTCTGCGCGTGGCGCCGCCATCGGGCTCCAGCGCCACAGGTTCGTGCATCCCGCGGGTGTCCCGAATCATCCAGACCGAACAAGCACCTGGTGCTGCCTATGGAAAGGCCGGCCCACGCGCTCCGCGGTGCCCCGGGTGTGCGAGCGGTGGGGGTGCCGGTGCAGACGGCGGCGCTGCTGCTGAGGCTGGGGCGCTGAGGAAGAGGGCGCGCCCTTGCTGGCTCCGACGAGGAGCCGCGCGCGAGGTGATCCTCCGAGCCGCGCCCGTCAGAACCCAGTGGTGCGCCTTGTCGGCCACACCCCAGACCGCCTGTCCGATGCTTGCCCTTCCCCTCGCCCCTGCCCTTCCCGAAGCCGGCGAAGGCCTTTTTCCGTGGCCCCTGCCCGTGCGTTTGATGGCCCCCCGTGCACGGCGCGTCGGTCTGCTGATATTGATGCGGCGCCATCTTGGCGCGCTCGTAGGCCCGGAAGAGGTGCGCGGCGCGCTCTTCCACGGGGGCCTCGCGCACTTCGGGGTCGTCGGCCACGTTTCCCTCGCCGAGCGAGCCGATGGTGTCGGAGTCTGTGCCGGAGTCGAGACCTGCTGCTAGGCGCGCCGCCTGCGGCGCTGCCGCAACATCGGCGTGGGCGGGAAGCGGTGCCGAAAGTGTACTCGGCGCAGCTCCTGTGGCTGGCTCATGCCATCCCAGCTCGATCCGGCCCCAGTGCCGTAGGCGCTCCCTGAGTCTGAACGCGCGCGGGCGCGCCCGTAGGACAAACGCTTGGCATTCGGGCGAGCGCGCGGTCGAGGCGGGATTTCCTGGCGAGCCATCGATCATATGTCCGAATCGACGATACTGGCCCGTCATGCGCCCCAGCTGTGGTGCGTTCGCAGGGCCTGCCATGTTGCAGTGCTGCAGGACCATGGTGAGCTGGGTGTCAAGCGCGCCCGCCGCGCGCGGCAAGAGGTAGCTCATGCCCTCGTAGCCGATCGTGAATTTACCGTCCTGACGCGCCCAGTTGCGAAGGATGTCGAAGATGGTAAAAGGGGGTTCTCCATGCTCTCTTGCAGTGGACGGTTAAAGTTCATCAGTGCCGATGTCGCCTGCGTGCGTTCCTCCTCTCCGAGCTGGCCCCGCCGTTCGGCCGAGCTGTGCGCGAGGCAGGTCATGGGCGGCGCTGGGTTGCCGTTGACATGACCACCCTGGATGAGGACAGCTGACGGCCACTCGCCCACGTACTCGCGAGGCGTGCTGGTCATGGGAGACGAGACGTAAGCCGCTTGGCGAAACTCGTGGAGGTCTGAGTTCGCCACTGATCACCACCTCCCGCGTCCATCGTTGCAAAGGCACGCGAGCCTTTTGCTCGGGCCCCCAGTTGCGGGGGCGTCGCATGTTGCCGCTGCCCCGACCACCAGCGCCCACTCAGGCGATGCGGTTGATGGCAGCGACCGTGCCCACTCCCATGGCCTTCCATCCAGAATGGAACCCCCTCCAGGTGTTGAGGGGGCGCGGCGGTCCTGGTGCCCACCAGCGGGGTTCCTCGGTAGTGGTCCTCGAAACCGTCGTGGATATCTGTCCCTGGCGTTCTCTTCCTCATCAGCGCGTTGGGTTTTCTTCTTCTGTTGTGCGATTGGCGCGCGGGCTGCGCTCAGAGCACCCCGCCACATAGTTGCGAGAGAACTCGTCGTACGCCGTATTGTCGCTGTAACGAGCACTGCCGGCTGCGCGGCAGTCGAGAGGAGTATGCGTAGCGATCCAGGTATGCCATGAAACACGGGGTGCGTAGGTAACGTTGCGGGCCATGCCCACGATAACCGATAGCGGGTAGTCCCAAACTTGTGTAATGCTCCCCCGGAACGATGGCAACACAATTGCCCGACCTTCCTCTGTATTCCCGCTCTTGCATGCACGCGCCTTCCCCAACTTCCGCAGCGCAGCGGCGAAGAACCCAGGGCGCTTCGTCGACGCCGACGATGTGGGCGTCGGGTCGAGGGACTGTTTGACCTAATCGGCTACACCCACATGTGGATGCAACGAATCGTCCTCATCCGCTTCCCCATTGGGTTTCCGCAACACATTTGCGAATAGTTCGGGGCCCTGTACCGACACCGTGGGCGTGGAAGTCGGATCGCTCGACAATGTGGCGGTGACGGCGGCACTCACAGGCGAGTGTTGTGACGACGACGGGCCTTTGAGCATCTCGAACCGAGCTCGAAAGTGCCCCGGGTGGACAGCGCGGGGGGCGTCTTCCTTGTGGTACATGTTCTTGGGCTCGTGCATGTGCTGGGTCTACTGCGCCACTGATGGCGGCTGGGCCTGACTGGCCCCGCCGGCCTCACGAGGCACGGAGCTTGCCGGGGCGAAGTGGATGACCAACATGAGCACAATGCGGGACAAGTTGTCGCGAACATGGGGGGAAACTTCGCAGGCCATGGCTGGCGGTCGCGGAGCGGGCTGCTCCGCCACCAATTAGAAATGACGATTTGATGAGTAATGCGCAGTTTTTTACAATTCATAGAATAAAACAGGTATGTGCACAGCATGTGTATAAATAGCACGGGCACGAAAGGTTGGCCAGCTGTCGCGCCCCTGGGCAAAAACGGCAACGGTGAGGGAGACGATTACAAGAGCTGTGCACAATCCGCTGCATGTGCCTTCCGTTCGAATAAGAGAAAAAAGAGGAGGAGGAGGAAGAGTAGGAGGAGGAGGAGGGACAGGCGGAGGCGTATAGCCGCATAGCGAGGACGAAGAGGATGAGGAGGAACTGCACGAGGCGGGGAACGAAGAGGGGCGCACCTCGGGAGGCAGCACGGACGCCACGAGGAGGGTGTAGTCAACCTGGGCAGAGGGGCCGCTCCAGCCAGCGGGGGGGGTGGGCGGGCAGACCGACGTATCGCCTCTCTCCGTCCCTGCGCCGGTCCACCCCGTCTCTGGGTTCACCTCGATTTCCCGAGAGCGTCCACGGATTGCTTCGAATGACATGGTTTTGTCTGGCTTTAGGTCAGAAGGTCGTTGATAAAGGACAAGATCGGGCGAGGACAAGTCGAGAGTCTCTGAGATTCATCGTCTCCACCACCTCTTCCCTGCGCTTCCTGCTCTCGAGGGCCCTCGCTGCCTCAGCAGGTCCTGCCTCTGGAGGCGACTAAGAGGGCGGGGGAACGCCAATGACTCATCCCGCGCGCCGATCCTGGCTGCTCTGGCCCTAGGCCCACGACCAGCGTGCACGCCCCTGTGGGACCAGCGCACACCGATGAAGACGAAGCCAGGACCAGGACAACATCTGGTGAAGACAGATCTGGAAGCTCTGAGTACAACGGCTCCGGAGCATGTCTCGGGCGCCGCGGCCTTCTCAGAGCATTCTGGGACGCTCTGAAAAAGCTACAGAACGCCTCGTCCTAGACCGTCCGACCGATCCTGGACCCAGGATGGGCCTTTAGGGGACTGGTGCAAGCGCGCAATCATCGCCATGGGGGAAACTGGTCCTGAGGATTTTTGTCATTTTTGGATTCTGGGGCCCTCCACGGGCCCCGGGACTGCCCGAAAACAGCCCAGGATGACGGCCTCGTTCCGGGGGAGAGACCGAGGTACTGGCCCTCAGGACCCGCCACGCTAAAAACACCAGCGGTGGACGGTCGCTCCCCAGTTTTGAGCACTCAGGCCAGGCTGCGGATCCAAGCCGAGCGGGCCGCCTGACGGGACGGATACGAGGAAGCAGGCAAGCGGTATTGGAACGTAGCGTGGCATGGGCGGGAAAGCCGGGGTCGAACATTGCGCAGGGCATACTCGACCTCGGCGGTGCGTGGGGGCGGAACCAAGGAATACAATGTGTTTGACACGACCCCAGATCTAGACCAAATCGGCGCGTTCGCCAAAACCCCGAACACAGTAAATCCACGTAGTGTTTCGAACAGTGTCTGGTTGGCGCCCCCTGGAGGCCCAAAAACGTCCATAGACATCCAAACTCGTTCCTCGAGCTTCGACGCCCGATCTTCGAACCTGGATCCTCCAATCTCTGGTAGCACCTGACTGAGGAAGTTCCCCGTAGCCTCCAGGACCCCCTTCCCTCGGCACCCCTCTGCATCATGGCGACTCGGCTCTCTGCACCTCTCCGGGGATGCGCTCTGACCAGGAACTCGAGGCGGACCAAGCCGTGGCGACGAGAAGCCTGCGGAGGCCCACAGAGCGAAAGAGAGAGATACAGAGAGAGAGAGAGAGAAAGAGAGAGAGAGAAAGAGAGACAGAAAGAGGGAGAGAGGGAGAGAAAGACAAATGTAGGGGGAGAGAGAGAGAGAGAGAGAGAGAGAGATAATGAAAACAAGGACACATCTATATATATATATATATATACAGATAAACAAACAAATCAATAAGAATAAACATAAGACACAACGCAGGTTAGAGGTATACTTGTAAGCGGCGAAACGTCTACAGCACACTGCCGGCGGCGCTGCTGAGATGCAGGTAGACACCACGCAGAAAAGTCGACGGCAACGACGACGACGGGGGGGGAGACGAAGCGGGAGGAGGAAACAAGGAGGGGAGGAGTGGGAGAGAGGAGGAGGAGGAGGAGGAGGAGGAGGAGGAGGAGGAGGAGGAGGAGGAGGAGGAGGAGGAGGAGGAGGAGGCGAGAGGAGGAAACAGGGAGTGGAGGAGAGAGGGGCGAGCAGCACGCCAAAACTCGATCACTGACGATCGATGTCCTTTGAAGGGGGGTCCCTCCTAGCCCTCCTCTTCCACATCATCCTCCTGCTCCTCCTCCTCCTCCTCCTCCTCCTCCTCCTCGCCCGCGCGCTTCCTCAGGCGGAGGACCTCGACAATGACGACAGCGAGGAGGAGGAGGCGGAGGAGGAGGAGTCCTGAAGAGGAGGAGGGATCAGCATGCTGTTGAGGAGGAGTGGCGAGGAGGAGGACGACGACAATCCCCTCGGAGGATGGTCAGGGCCCAGGACCTTGGCACATCAGTGAAACCTGCAGCCGCGTGCTGAGACAAATTCACCATTTCTCAGTTTCTGCAGCTGGGATTCGCAGAGGCCTGGTAAGGCTTCGGGTTGTGCACAAGCAGGCCCCCTAGGTAGTCCCGGCTGGCCTCAACAGGCTCCCCCGAATACTCTAGGGCGGCGTCAACTCCGGCGCCGCCAAGTTGTTGAGACTGCCCCGGGGCACTCGGGGGGCCTCTTGAGGTCAGCCGTGACTACCTGGGGGGGGGGCCGTCTGTTCGCAGCCCGAGCCATTACCACAAAATTCTAGTTTGCAATGTCCTGGATCCTGGGGGCCCGAGATGCCACCCCTGTCGGCTACACGCAAGAGTGACCCTGAACATGAGTGGCCTTTGGTGCGTAGCTACACGGGGGACGCATGGTGGCCAAACCTGGGCGCGGAAGCCGCTGCTACCGCTTCGCGTTCGGCGATCGGGGGACGCACTGGCCCGCATCAAATGTTACTCCGGCGAACAACCAGTCTGACGTCTAGTCGATCCCTTGGCCCGCCCCCCCCCCCCCCCGGGTGGGACCGAGCCGCTGCCGGCGCCGTCCAGCGCCCGGCCGAGCAGCCGCAGCTCGGCGAGGCCCCCCTGCGGGGGGGCCTCGGGGGCTGCCGGCAGCTCCTCTGCGCAGGGGATGGGGGGACATTGGGCGAGCAACGACATATGTACATGTACGCCCTCCGCGGTCTTGCCTGCACGAACGTCCGCGTTGACACGCACTCCAGGGGAAGCTAACCGCGTACGTGTACATATGTTGCTGGCCTCTGAGACATCGAGGAGGGGCGGATGGATCGGGGGAGGGAGCGATGCCGATGCCGCCGGCGGAAAGGCAGGCGTACGGCCAGACCCGAGGCAGCAGGAACTCTTCCGAGAACGTGGAGACCCTCCGCCGGCCGAGGTGGAAGAACATTCGAGGGTGCCCTCCCCCAAGAGGAGGAGGAGGAGGAGGAGGAGGAGGAGGAGGAGGAGGAGGAGGAGGAGGAGGAGGAGGAGGAGGAGGAGGAGGAGAGGAGGAGGAGGAGGAGGAGGGAGGAGGAGGAGGAGGAGGCGGGGGAGGAGAAGGAAAAGGAGAAGGAGGAGGAGGAGGAGGAGGAGGAGGAGGACCTTGGGGCATCCGGCACTGGGGTGCCCTCCCCGGACCGACCTCGATCTCATCCTCGGTCCGACCGTGCAGGGACCGCTGCTGGGCCTGGAGGGCCCTCGTCGCCACGGCAGGCGTCGCTCCGAGGTCCTGGCCAGAGCGCGCCCCGGGAGAGGCCCAGCGGCGGGGCGCGGGCGTCGTCGTGGTCGTGGCCGTCGCCGTCGTCGTCGTCGTCGTCGCCGTCGCCGTCGTCGCCGTCCTCGTCGTCGCCGCGCCGTCGGCGCCGTCGTCGTCGTCGTCGTCGTCGTCGTCGTCGTCGTCGTCGTCTTCATCGTGGTCGTCGCCGTCGCGGTTTTGGTGGACGTCGTCGTCGTGGGGGGAGGAGAAGGGTAATGGTAGTGGTAGTGGCAGTGGCAGTGGTAGCGGTAGCAGTAGTAGTAGTAGTAGTAGTAGTAGTAGTAGTAGTAGTAGTAGTAGTAGTAGTAGTAGTAGTAGTAGTAGTAGTAGTAGTAGTACTAGTACTAGTACTAGTACTAGTACTAGTACTCGTAGTAATAGTCGTACTCGTAGTAGTAGTAGTCGTAGTAGTAGTAGTAGTAGTAGTAGTAGTAGTAGTAGT